AGTAAAAAATTTCTTCCTGAGATCTAATCTGAATCTTTTTTCTTCCAATTTAAAACTGTTTCCCCTTGTCCTATCATTACCCTTCCTGGCAAAGAGTCCCTCCCCAGCTCTTCTATAGGCACCCTTCAGATATTGAAAGGCCGCTATAAGGTCTCCCCAGAGCCTCCTCTTCTCCAGGCTGAACAATCCCAGCTCCCTCAGCCTGTCTTCATAGCAGAGGTGCTCCATCCCTCTGATCATCTTGGTGGCCCTCCACTGGACCTGTTCAGCTGGTTCATGTCCTTTCTGTGCTGAGGACTCCAAAGCTGGACACAGAGCTCCAGGTGGGGTCTCAGGAGTGCAGGGCTGGTTCATGTCCTTTCTGTGTTGAGGACTCCAAAGCTGGACACAGAGCTCCAGGTGGGGTCTCAGGAGTGCAGAGCAGAGGGGCAGAATCACCTCCCAAGACCTGCTGCTGTGAGCAGAGGCAGAGCGATGCCTCTAAATACTATTGACCTCTTCTAAGTTGATTTGTGTCAGTCGAAATGGCACGGCCAGATGAGGGACTTCACAAGGAGATTATTTCTTTGTCCCACCACGAATGTGCCCTTAGTGGAAGGTGCGGGTGGGTTCCGGAGGTAGCGGCAGCAGAGGCAGGTGTTAACCTTTATGGGTAAGGAGGGATTTTTGGGGCACATCTGCTTTGGGTTACCGGAAAGCCCTGTTTCCTAAGAAACGCCTGCTACCCTGCGAAATGTCAGGTTGTAAAATAAAGCTGTGGCTCCGTCGAGGCTCCCGGGAGGATGAGTAAGAGAATGCAGAGGGAGAGAGGAAGGGCTCTTGCCTCCTGCAGCGCGTGCCCAGTGACATTTCAACAGCGGGAGGTGGTGTTCTCAAAGCAAAGCTGCCACAGGCACTCGAGGGGGAGAAAAATGTTGCTTGGTCTCTAACGTAAACACACCCTGGTGATTTGTTCCCCTCCAGCTGACGGCCTTCGCCTACCGAGAGTACTTGTCCTTTGGGTACGTGTACGTCGGCCTCCGGGGCACCGAGGAGTTGTCCAGTCAGTACAACATCAATGTCTACACCCCCACCATGATGATCTTCAAGGAGAACATCGACAAGCCCGCTGATGTTGTGCAGGTATTGCTCAGTCCTCTCGGAGAGCTTAGGTGAGATGCACGCTGAGGGGTTTCAGACCCAGCTTGTGATGAGGGGTTGGTCTCAGCAGAAACTCAGGCTGCAGCAGAGCACGATCATTTAGGAGGGAGGGTGCTCTGTAGGCTGTGGCATCTGTCCTCTTGAGGGTGGGCTGCAGGTGGCTTCATAGAATCATAGAATTGCCCAGGCTGGAAGGGACCTCCAAAGGCCATCTAGTCCAACCCCCCCGCAGTCAGCAGGGACACCCCCAACTAGACCAGGTTGCCCAGGGCCTCGTTGAGCCTCAGTCTTGAGGCCTCCAAACATCTCAGTGAGGACCGTGACGGCTGGCAGCCTTCCCCAGGCTCCAGATGAGAACGTCACGTGCAGCAGCTTCACTCTCCTCACCCTGCTCAGTACTCACCTCGGCTTGCTTTGTCCTCTCCAGGCACGAGAGATGAAGAAGCAGCTCATTGACGACTTCCTTTCCCAGAATAAGTTCCTCATGGTGGCCAGACTCACCAACCAGAGGCTCTTCCAGGAGCTGTGTCCCGTGAAGAAGTCTCACCGGCAGCGAAAGTAAGGCTCCACGGGTCACATGTCATAGAATCATAGAATTGCCCAGGCCAGAAGGGACCTCCAAAGGCCATTTAGTCCCACCCCCCCGCAGTCAGCAGGGACACCCCCAACTAGACCAGGTTGCCCAGGGCCTCATCGAGCCTCTCCTTGAATATCTCCAGGGATGGGGCCTCAACCACCTCCCTGGGCAACCTGTTCCAGTGCTCCACCACCCTCACAGTGAAGAACCCTCTCCTCATCTCCAATCTAAATCTGTTCCCCTCCAGCTTGAAGCCATTTCCCCTCGTCCTGTCACTGCAGGCCTTTCTAAACAGGCTCTCCCCAGCCTTCCTGTAGGCTCCCTTCAGGTACTGGAAGGCTGCTATTAGGTCTCCCCGGAGCCTCCTTTTCTCCAGGCTGAACAACCCCAGCTCCCTCAGCCTGTCCTCGTAGCAGAGGTGCTCCATCCCCCTGATCATCCTTGTGGCCCTCCTCTGGACCCGCTCCACCAGGTCCATGTCCTTCTTATATTGAGGGCTCCAGACCTGCACACAATACTCCAGGTGAGGTCTCACCAGAGCAGAGTAAAGTTGCAGAATCCCCTCTCTGGACCTGCTGGCAACTCATCTTCTGATGCAGCCCAGGATGGGATTGTCCTTCTGGGCTGCAGCTGCACACTGCCTGCTCATGTCCAGCTTATGTCCCCTTGCTTTGTTCCCCGAGGCTCTGGGGCTGCTCCAAAGCCACCTCTTGTTCGATTCTGAGGGAGAAGGGAAATGACTGTGTTGGATCGTGCTGGGTCTCCACGTTGTTCGACAGGTTTCTGGCTCATTGGGATCATTCTGGCTTGTAGAAAGGGGATGGTCATTTCCTCTCGCATCCAGAACTGCTCCCAATCCCCACCCCGTTGTGTTGCCCAGGCACTGCGTGGTCTTACTCACTGGAGAAGGAGAGAAGTTTGCTGAGGCCTACGAGGCGTTTTTGACCTTTGCTGTGGCCAACACAAAAGACACGCTGAAGTTTGTGCACATCTACAATGAACGGCAGCCGGAATTCGCGGACGCCTTGCTGATGGATGAGGAGAAGTATCGGGGAAAATCAGCTGTGAGGGTTCCCTTGGTTTTTTCCCTTCTCCCCTTTCCCTTCTCTCATTCTAACATCACTTTACCTAGGATGCTCTACCTTGATGTGACACCTAATTCTGGGCATCTGTCTAGAAAAAAGTAACTTCCTCTCTGATATCTGCTGTGTTGTTGGTTTGTCCAGGTGGTCATTTTGGAGAGACGCAACAACGCGGGGAAGATCGCCTACAAAACCTTGGAGGAAGCCTGGCAAGGCAGCAAAGAGGACAACTTCATCCTCCTGGATCTTCTGGACCAGCTGAGGACAGACCCTGGCCTTCTCTCTTTGGAGACTGTCCTGGCAGACTTGAATGACGAACTTGCTCCTGTAAGTACATGGCATTTCCAGCTGTGCTGGGATTTTTGGATGGTTATGGTCATTCACAGGCATTATTTATATTTTAAAATACCAAGGCAAGACTCTTAAAATCCCTTATGGAAGGAAGAGCTCATGGCATGCTCCAAAGCTGATTCAGCCCGGGGTTCTGTTTAAGGGTTTGGAGTTCTGTCAGGGCTCTGGAGAGCGGTTTTGTCATTTGCTTTGTTCTTTTTCAACAGATGTTCCTTATCCGATGGTTCTACTCCACGTTGGACTATATCTCAGACTGCTGGGACAGTTTGTTTCACAGTAACTGGTATGGATTGGGTGCTAACGAGTCTCCCTGGGGAGCAGGGTTGCTGTTACCTTGTACAGATGTGTAGCAGATCCGGGTTCTTGTAGCAAAATTGAGAACATCTCAAAATACAGAGGTGCGGGACGGCACTTAAAATCTTGATTGTCTTTAAGACGCCAGGAAATGAGCGGAGTTTCAGGGGAAGCTGCAGGGTTATTACTTGAGGTAGATGGGAACTGAGATAGATTGGAGCAGAAATTGTGCAGCTCCCAGCCCTGACTGCTGTTTGCAAATCTTCCCCGCAGGCGAGAGATGATGCCGCTGCTGTCCTTGCTCTTCTCTGCACTTTTCATTCTCTTTGGCACAGTTATTGTTCAGGCTTTCAGGTGAGTGCACGCCAAAACCTCCCAGGGGATCTTAGGGTCCTGCCAACAGCACCTCAGTCCAATCTGGTGCCTTAAACACACACAAAATGGTCTTCCTTTGCAGCGATTCGAGTGACACGAGGGACTCTCCTCCCTCGGAGAAAGAAGAAACCGCTGCAAAGACCGAGAAGAACGACACGAGCTTCAGCAAAGAGAGTAACAGGTTCCCTCTCTAATTTCTCCAGAACTGTTTTCAGCTGAAGCATTGCTTGGGGAGCAGAGAGTGCAGAAATGTGCCAGAGTCGTGGGGACACAGCACAGTCGTGTGGGGCAGAGCGGGCACAGGGAAGTGGATGGAGGTGGTGGTTAGACAGGACTCACACCAGCAAGGACAGGGGTGCACAAATTTAGTTATTAAGCCATTCTTACAGAGTTTTGCCCAGGAAAAGGCAAAGGTTTGACTGACCTGTTGAGGAAGATCCAAGTCTGGCCATGGCACTGATTCAGCTTTAGCTGAATTCAGGGATGGCTCAGTGTAAGGAGGCAGGGAACAAGTTTCTCCATCAGTTGCTCCCCATCCTTCCTTTCACTTTCACTCAGTCACCATTTCCTTGCAGCAGGATTCCCAAAAAGGGCTTTGTGGAGGTGACGGAGCTAACGGACATCAACTACAACAGCAACCTGGTGCGCCTGAGGCCGGGCCACATGAACGTGGTCTTGATCCTCTCCAACTCCACCAAAACCGCCCTCCTCCAGAAGTTTGCTCTGGAAGTCTACACCTTCACCGGGTAGGCTGGGGTTCTGTTACAGTTTTAACGTGTCTAATGCTGCTCTGATGACAATTGGGAGTGGTGTTGGCTCGTTTGCCAGGAGGGAACACTTCTGGTGAGCAAAGTGGACTCTGTATTTGTTAGTGGCACTGAGCTGCTGAAAACTGAGTGGTCTTTCCTGGCCCGTTGAAGGTGGTTGGCAAGTCTGGTGCTGCTGCACATTGGCTCTACCCACTTTTCAACAAATTGAGCACACGACAGTGCTGGGCGCTGGGTGATTGTCACCTGTGCTGAGCTGGGTTAAAAAAGGAGCTGTGGTGACACAGCTCGGCGCCTGCCCTTGTTACAAACGCTTACCTGTCTGGTAGGAATCTGGCCTGACTTGGGAGATGTGCTAATCCCTTATCAATGCCTACAAGTATCTCAAGGGAGGGTTGAAGGAGGAGGGAGCCAGACTCTTTTCAGTGGTTCCCAGTGAGAGGACGAGGGGCAACGGGCACAAGTTGGAACATAAGAGGTTCCACTCAAATATGAGGAGAAACTTCTTCACGGTGAGGGTGGCAGAGCCCTGGAACAGGCTGCCCAGGGAGGGTGTGGAGTCCCCTTCTCTGGAGATCTTCAAGCCCCACCTGGATGCTCCTGAGTAACATGCTCTGACAAGCTCTGGGCAATCCTGCTTCAGCAGGGGGGTTGGACTGGATGATCTCTATGGTCCCTTCCAACTCTAAAATTCAGTGAAATTCTCCTCTGCTCTTCCCCCAGGAGCAGCTCTCTTCATTTCTCCTTCCTCAGCCTGGACAAGCACCGGGAATGGCTGGAGTACCTGTTAGAGTTCGCGCAGGATGCGGCCCCCATCCCAAACCAGTACGACAAGCATTTCCTCGAGCGCGACTACACGGGCTACGTCCTGGCTCTCAACGGCCACAAGAAATACTTCTGCCTCTTCAAGCCTCACAGATCAGGGGATGAGGGGGGAACCCTGGGCTCCTGCGAGGATTACGATTCCTCGCTACACACAGAAGCCCGAGGGAAATCCTCCTGCAGCCCGGGATCTAGATCCATAAAAAACAAATTACACAAATTGTCCTTTTGGATGGAACGTCTCCTAGAGGGTTCCCTACAGAGGTTCTATATCCCCTCGTGGCCCGCGCTAGACTGAGGGATTTTAAAGAGATTCTAATGGACAAACTTTTTATGAAGATGACAAGGGACAGCTCTTTCCAGGAATAAGCAAACAAGCGTTGACGAATGGACCTTAGGTTTTAGATGAACTCTCCCGGGGCTGGTGACTAGAGCCCGGGAGCGCAACCAAGCGCACCCAAAATTCCCTCCACCGCCTCCTCCGCGCGTTTGGATGCCGTGCTACCCAAGAGCCAAGAAGTCCATTTCTTTTTCCTTCTTGTCCTGCCGCATCCGCTTCCCGAGTCACGCTCCCCCCCCGTGGCATCTCTCGTTTTACCTCGGTTGAAGGAAAAAAAAAAAAAACCACAAAAAACCCACAAATCCGTGACTTCTCTGCGTGGTGACTCGGTCCGGACCGATGCAGGTCAGGTCATGGTTGTGTCTCCCCCCTTCCCCGTGTGCTCAGCCCATGGTGCATGGTGTAACACTGGCAAGACCCTGCAGACCCTCCCAGGCCCTGCCCTGCCCAAAGGCCTCCTTCCCAAGCAGGCAGTCGTACTTTTATCAGCTTTCCCCGGGGTAAGTGATCTCAGAGTACGGTGGGGAGCAGCTGGGACTCACCTGTGGTGCGGGCTCGTAGGCGATGTGCATGTTTCATGCTCCTCGTGTCACAGTTCCACCTGCAGCTTCACCGGCTAAACCGTAACCGGGGAGGGAAGGGGGTTTTTGCACGACCATAAAATACTGTCCAGGTGTTGAGCCATTTAAATGTTACATTGATTTTTTTCGGATGCCTTTCTGCTTCTGTCGATTTTAGACGATGTATCCTAGAGCCATAACTTTGTGTCCTCAGATTGTAGGCGTGAGCTGCTATGAGCCAGTAGACGTGTCGAGGAAACTCTACCTAGCTGCTAGGGAGTCGGCCCGGGCTCCTTTCCAACACCCTTACGTCTGTAGTACAAACCAACCTTTCTTTGTATCAAGGAAACCTAATTCTTCGATGATTGTATTCTTGAAATGTTGCCCCAGAAGTGCTGTATCACGAGACCGTTGCTTACGTGTGAAACTCCTTTGGGTTTAGGACGCTTGGTTTTCAGCCTCTCGCCCGTTTCCTTCTTGCCACGAACCTTTTGTTTCTCAAGGTGCAGGCTGCTCCCTTGGGGTTTTTTTTGTTCGTTTGTGCTGGGGGTTTTGTTTGTCTTTTTGAACTCGTAGGTCTGTGTGAAGCTCGAAGAGTCGTCAGGCGCAGGGCTGGGTTTATGCTGTGCCCTAGCAGGGCTCCAACAGCCACTTCCAACACCGCAGGGGGAATGGGTGGCCCTTTGTGAGGCAGAGGGAAGGCCAGTAGCCGACTGGTGGCCGCTTGCCACTCTTCAGGTGATAAAGCAAAGCAGCAGGGTTTCTTTTAGCAGCTGGGACTGAAATCCTGGGGGGCTCATGCTTCCTTTTCACTGCTCTGGGGCAGACACCGTCGCCCAAGCTGGTCCCTGCTGTGCCTCCTCCCAAGCCCCCCCAGTCCCCCAGGTCACCGTTGGGCTGCAGCACTGCCAAAGCACGGGGGTCTCAGTGGGGCAGCCTTTGCCGTGGGGCTCAGAACCTGATGGCAGAGCACTTGGTCGAGCACCTGCTGTTCATTAAATCTCACCTTAGTTACCATCTTAGGGGAGCAGGCAGTTAAGGAATAACGATGCCAATCTCCGAGCCAGCTGCCCATCCCATAGGAAACCCGGGAATGCTCCAGTCATTTCCCTGCCTCCGTGACCCAGTTGCTCCCAAAGCCCTGGCTCGCTGCATTCCTCCCCGCCCCGGCAGCGCATCGGCGTGCTGCGACCACCACAGGTATCTCCAACACCCCCTGTAATGTACTTCCAAATAAAGGCTGCCATGCTACAACCCACCCTATGTGAGGTTACTTAATCGTAGCCCAGCTTGTGCTGCTGCACGGAGGAGGCACTGAAGGAGAGGGAAGGAAGGAAGATGAGGTCTTCTCCCTGCCAAAGAGCTCCGAGGCACAGGCATAATGCTGAAACAGGGCGGGAAGGGGGGTAAAACACTGGCCTGGTGCTGCTGGACTTCATTTTCATCTGGCTGAAGCAGCAGCCATAGTCCTCCTGAGCTTTTCCTGCAGCTTGCTGTGTAGGATGGGGCTAGGACACGGTTGTAGCCCAGTGGGAGGCTCCATGTAACTTTTTACATGTTTGCAAAAGTAAAAAAATAAAATACTCTCTGGGTCTCTGCTGTCGCTAGTCAGAAACCAGGAGAAAATGCCTGATGCATTAAAAAAAGTGCCTAGTTGTGCTCCAGTGAGGGAATTCAGCCCTGCCCCAAGCAAGAAGACAAGGCCTTACAGCCTTCAAACTACTGTTTTTGTGCTGCATGCTGGCTGGAATCCTTTTTTTCTTTTCTTTTTAGCAGAAGTAACCTCCTCTTTTAGACCAGGTTTTGTTTAAGGAGCGCTTGCAGCCGGCCAGCCTTGCTGGTGGTCGCACTAACCCGGCTTGTGTCACTATTTTAGGGAAAAACCACCTTTGGTGGGCTGATGCAAATGCCAAATTCTCCTAAACCCCTCGTTTAGTAGGCTGTGGTGTCCGTGGCACTTGCCTTCTCATAGAAGAGCGTGGTCGGAGGCTGCTTGCGCCCAAAATTTGTCCACCCCCTCTCCCAGCACAGCGTCACCCTCCCCCAATAATTATTCTCACCTCCTGTGGTGCTTGACCCGCATCGTATCATCATCAGCAAAAGCACCTGGGAGTCTGTTAGGCAGGAGGTGGTTTGGAATCCAAAGATTGAGGGAATTCAGTCCTAGTGCACTATCGTAGCGACGTCGAGCGCTCGCACCCCGCTCGGAAGCTGAAGCAAAAGGGATACAGGCCCCCGGGTTTTGGACCCAAACGCCTCCCTGTTCCCCAAACCTGCCAGGAACTCATACACTAACGCAGCCTGAGGAGTAGGACTGAAAACTAGCTACATATTTTGCACTTTTGATACTGGGGAGGGAGGGGGGGAAATTAACTTATTTGGCAAACTTGTCTTTTTTATTTTTGGTTGGTCGTTTCGTTTTGGTTTTTTTTTTTTTTTTCTGTACAAACTGCCAACATCTCCCCGTCAGCTGGGAAATCCCAGGAGCCATCCAGCTGCTCCCATTTTTTTTGTATTTGTGAACAGGCACTGATGTCATTTTGTTTTAAGACGATTACAGATTCGCAACCAAAATAAACTATTTTAATGTGTGATGAGGTGGCTCTGTGTTTCCATGTACAAACTGCCCACACTTCCCCATCAACTAGGAAATCCCAGGAGCCATCCAGCTGCTCCCACCGTAGCAGCCGCCCGGTCACACCCAGCAGAAAATTCAGCCCAATACCCCCCTGCTCTCTGAACGAGCCTCCCTTCCTCTACCTTCATCATCCTCCCGCTGTGCTTTAGTGGGAGAAACCTCTTACCAGTGACAGTTGGGATGAGCCCCGTGAGCCAGGTGAGTAATTCCAGCTCGGAAAGAGGCGGCCAAACACCATTAGCCTCATCTTTGCCTTCCCCACTCAAAAGCTACAGCCACCAGCAAATGGGCTGTTCAAACCCTACAGTTTATCAGCTTGAAATTACCTTTTCTAGCAGTAAATGGCATTTATTCCTCACTGCAAAGCCCACGTTCCCTGCAACAGAGGTGGGAGCTGCGTTGCCCCCGGGGCAGGTGGGAGCTGCCCTCACATTGTCTTCACTCCAGGGAGAACGCAGAGCATCTCAAACAGCAGGTTTGCTGCCAGGAGGGCCGTGTTGCCTAAAAAAAAAGACCAAAAAAAGGGGGAAAAAACAAAAAATGAGCTGTGAATGCCCCATGGCTTTCACCCACAGTGGTAAAGCACCTCTGCCAGGCACACATCTCACTCTCAACCACTTCAGACTCACCGGAGACGTCGTACATCGGTGCAACTTCTACAAGGTCACACCCCACGATGTTCAGTCCTTTGCAGCCCCGAATAATCTCCAAAGCCTGGGAAGAAAACACAGTTGGGATGAAGAAACACACCTGGCCTAGTGGACTGGTTGGGGCTCTGCCTTCCCCACGTGCAGCTAAGGAAACCCAGCCTCTACAGAGCAGATCACATCGTTTCAACGTTTCCTTTCCTCATTACCACTGAATTTCACTGAATTTCACTGAATTTTAGAGTTGGAAGGGACCATAGAGATCATCTAGTCCAACCCCCTGCTGAAGCAGGATTGCCCAGAGCTTGTCAGAGCATGTTACTCAGGAGCATCCAGGTGGGGCTTGAAGATCTCCAGAGAAGGGGACTCCACACCCTCCCTGGGCAGCCTGTTCCAGGGCTCTGTCACCCTCACTGTGAAGAAGTTTCTCCTCATATTTGAGTGGAACCTCTTCTGTTCCAACTTGTGCCTGTTGCCCCTTGTCCTCTCACTGGGAACCACTGAAAAGAGTCTGGCTCCCTCCTCCTTCAACCCTCCCTTGAGACACTTGTCAGCATTGATAAGGTCTCCCCTCAGCCTTCTCTTCTCCAGGCTAAAGAGCCCCAGCTCTCTCAGTCTCTCCTCATCAGGGAGATGCTCCAATCCTTGAATCATCTTTGTTGCCCTTCGCTGGACTCTTTCCAGCAGTTCCCTGTCCCTCTTGAACTGGGGAGCCCAGAACTGGACGCAGGATTCCAGTTGTGGCCTCCCCAGTGCAGAGTAGAGGGGGAGAATGACTTCCCTTGACCTGCTGGCTACACTCTTCCCTATGCAACCCAAGATACCATTGGCCTTCCTGGCTGCAAGAGCACTCTGTTTACTCATTGTCAGAGTAAAAGAGCTCCCTACCCCTTCCCTTTGCTCACTGGTGGCACAACCTCCTTTAATGGGAGTAAAAACCTCCCCTTCCCCCTGGGAAACAAAGCTGTGTGCCCCCCTTTTACCTGCGCAGGGGTGAGCCCAGCTATCTCTGGCGTGCCGGTGCCCGGGGCGTACGCGGGGTCCAGCCCGTCGATATCGAAACTGATGTAGATTGGCTTGTTCCCCATCTGCTTCCTCACCTCCCCCATCAGCGGCACCAGGGATTTGCTCCAACACTCTTCAGCCGGGACCACCCGGAAGCCCTGCGGGAGCACGGAGACAGGGAAAGGTGGGGAAAGTGACTGAGCATTCCCTGCCCCACCAGGGATTTGTCGATACACCAGAGGGGTGTGTTGTCGATACACCAGAGGGGTGTGTTGTCGATACACCAGAGGGACAGGATGTCATCCAAAAGGACCTGGACAGGCTGGAGAGGTGGGCCCAGGTGAACCTCATGAGGTTCAACAAGAGCAAATGCAAGGTTCTGCACCTGGGCCAGAACAATCCTCGCCACCAATATAAACTAGGGGGTGAGGTATTGGAAAGCAGCCCTCAGGAAAGG